GCTAAAACGTCTGGATATATTTCAATTAAATTTGGAATATAGATATAGGGATCCGTACGATAAGTCGAAAATAAAAATGTCGAAACAGAAATGTCGAAATTTAAAAATTTTTTAAATCTCGAAAAAATGTTTTACCGAAACGGAAAATGTCGAAATCGTATCCTTTCGAAATCAAAAAGGTCGAAAAAAATGCAAAATGTCGAAAATGTCGAAAAAGTTGAATGTTTGAAAAAAATTAAAAATAAAAGTGTTTTGAGTAGCTTTTCAACAAGGAAAAAGAAAGTTCTGCAAAATAAGACGGAACAAATTTTTTTCCCGACAAAGTGGAAAAGGGTGGTATGAGAGGCTTACCTTATAGATTGCATCTTGATAAATTTCTCAGAAGACCTTTATGATTGAATATTAAATAACTCACAAAATTTAACGGTTTTAGTTGCCTAAATATGTATTTTCATATCTAAACAATCAGTTGTATGGGAGCTATAAGTTATAGTGATGCGAATTTGTCGATTTCGACAAATGATTAATAGATTATGTATAATAAAATTACAGTATAAGAAACTAAAACCTCGCTATTATAATTTCCATTCGTACTGTCATCAGGTATGTAACTGGAGAATGGAAATCGCTGCATCTTTTAGGCGCATCAATATTACATAGTTACATACCGAGCTAATAAAAGGGAGGTAAAAAGACACCTGTACCTAACAGAGAGACAAGCGGACACGGCTTAATCGACTCAACTCGTCCTTTTGAGCATTTTGGTATAACTTTATGGGTTTTTCCTTCCTCTGATACATACAAACAACACGATTTCATGTTCATGAAGGGTATAAAAATAGACAAAATGCATATTTTTGGTCAGAAGTTAATAGAAAGCTTTTCTTTTGATGAATGGTAAAAAAAACGTGTGTAATAAAACTCGTCATTAATTTCCATAATATCGCACGTTTAATAATATAACGAAGTATTTCAAAATTTCAATTTTGTGGGAAAACGCAATCAAAGTGGTAAACAAAAAGACAGATGGAAAGACCATATCTTCGTCATATTTGGGAACATATTCTACTTATCAAGCTTATTAATTGCATAATAAAATCCCCAAAAACTTAAAATATGAGTTACATCTCTATATTATTAAACGTGCAATATGTACTTTCTTTCTTTCCACTGTGTTTTTTTTTCTTAATCAGCGTTACCTTAGTTTTTGTTTTTTTAAATGTGCATTTCTATACTTTCAAATGAGCTCATTTCAGTTCAAAGTTTATTCGTCATTGATTAGCTTATATTTGCGACCCCCATCAAAAATGAGTGCGGAAATTGTAAAATCAAATAAGGGAAAAAGTAAGCTTGTTCTGAATGGATTTGTATACCATTCGGAAAAAAAATATAAAGAGGTGTTTTATTGGAAATGTGAAAAGCGGAATGAGCTTAAATGTAACGCACGTGTAACGACGGTGTTAGATGGTAATGAACATAAAATCAAGAAACCCGCTTCTGCGCATTCCCACGATCCAATGGCATATAACGGCGAAATTTATAAAACAAATGCAGATATAAAACAGCAAGCAGAAAAAACCAACTGCAAACCATCGCAGATAATAAACTCGGCTATAGTTCAATGCAAAAGTGAATGTAGAGTATACCTACCGAAGTCTCAGAATTCCTTGCAAAAAATCAAAAGAGTGAGGAGTAACATGGTAAAAGAGCCTTCAGCACTTGATGAAATTAATATTCCAGAAGATTTGAAAACCGTGGAAGGCGAAATATTTTTGCTATCAGATAAAAGCTTCATGAATGAAAGAATTCTAATTTTTGGCAGTGTTGAAAACTTAAAAGTTTTAGGAAGATCACGTGTATGGCTTATGGATGGAACATTCAAAATCGTACCAACAATTATGCGCCAATTATTTACGATTCATGCACATATAAATGAACATGTCGTTCCTGTAATTTACTGTGTTATGAGTAGCAAGAGTAAGCAGTGTTACGATGAAGTTTTTTATGAAATACTAAGAATCGCCTGCGATAATAATGTAAATCTCAGCCCAGATTACATTATTTCTGACTTCGAGAAGGCAATAATTTCCGTTACAAAATCATACTTTCCCAGTGTTGTCAACAAAGGATGCTTTTTCCATTTTGGTCAAATTTTGTGGCGAAAAGTTCAAAGCGAAAAACTTGCCTCCATTTACGGAAAAGACGAAAACTTTTCTTTGCAAATAAGAATGCTAAAATGTCTAGCTTTTTTGGAACCAGAGGAAATACCCCAATACTACTATGATCTTAAGAAGTCCATGAGCAATAATTGTGCAAATATATTAAAGTGGATGGAAAAACACTACATAACCGGAGCGTCAACGTCTAGAAAAGGTAGATATTCCCGTTGTAAAAACACTTTAGCATATCCACCATCCTTTTGGTCAATTTATGAACAAATGGATATAAATATTCCAACAACGCAGAATACGGTGGAAGCTTGGCACAGAAGAATGCAAGTTATAATTGATAAAAACCATGTTGGAGTATATAAACTAGTACACCACTTAAAAGAGGAATATATTGTTGTTAAAAATAAAATAAATCTTATAAACTCCCAAAATGTAATTAAACCTAAATTGACGTATCAAAAAAAAAAGAAAAATATTCTCAGTATTTTAAGTAAAAAAGAAGAGTATTCTAAAACAGAACTTTTAAAAAATTTAGCATATTACACTTCTTTAACCTAAATACTTAAATTAATATTTAAAAAACACGGAGATTGGATATTTTCACGTTCAAAACTTGGGATTAAATCGAGTTAGGAATTTTATGACAAGTAAATCCCTTAAAATTCATCTTTGAAGTTGTCTTGAGCTCTGATGTCGATGTATTTATGTGTTTGTTTCTTAACCTTTACAAAATGTGTCATTTTGAATATTGTAAGTTCCCTTACATTTTAAGCTATTTTAAATATGTTAGTTTTTTCAATATATGTAGTAAGAAATTTGAAATGTTAATTTACGTTCGTTAATACCAAGGGAATTGATTAAGTTATTTCTTTAATTATCAAACTAATAAATACTAGCTTTTACCCACTTTAAATGGAACAAAAAAGGAAATAAATATTTTGAATTCAATAAAAAAGCGTGTATATGGCAAATTTATCTTGAAAATTATAGGAGACGATTCTGCTGATATTTTCGGGCAAAGAAAAGCAACCGTGTTAAAGTATATTTAGTTATCAATTAATTGACTTTTACTTTTTTAACAGGCGGCAACCCTATTACAAAATACATCCGAAATATATAGTTTCTGAACCGCTTTCGCTTGCTAATATTTTGTTAAACTTGTTAATTAGTCGGGTTTTTTTTTGAAAGAGGTGGCAACTCCAAAAAATATTTTATATGTTAGTATATTATATCTATATTCCAAATTTAAT